AACCCAGACAAGACCGAATGGCTGTGGGTATTGCCTCCTAAAGACTATGTTGACTGTCCATCCTTGGTTCTGGGGAGGGGGAGAAATTGTCCCCCTCAGAATGGGCTCGCAATTTGAGTGTCCTCCTAGACTCACAGCTTAGATTGGAGCAACATCTGACAGCTGTGGCTAGGGGGACCTTTGCACAGGTTCGCCTGGTGCATCAATTGAGACCCTACTTGGATCGGGAGGCTCTCCTCACGGTCACTCATGCCCTTGTCACCTCACAGTTAGATTATTGCAAAGCCCTCTACATGGGGCGAACCTTGAAAAGTGTTCGGAGACTACAGTTAGTTCAGAACGCAGCCGCGCAAGCTGTCGTGGGTGCACCTAGGTACACCCCCATTACACCAATTCTCCACAAGCTGCACTGGCTCTCTATTGTTATCCGGTCACAATTCAAGGTGTTGGTTATTACCTTTAAAGCCCTACATGGCTCAGGGCCAGGTTATCTTCGAGACCGCCTTCTACCGCATAGCTCCCAGCAACCGGTAAGATCCCACAGAGTTGGTCTCCTCTCGGTCCCATCAGCTAAACAATGCCGGCTGGCAGGCCCGCGGGGGAGGGCCTTTTCTGTGGATGCCCCAGCTCTCTGGAACCAGTTACCTCCTGAGGTCCGGACCATCCCCACCCTATTGGCCTTCTGAAAAGCGGTGAAGACCTGGCTTTTCCGGCAGGCCTAGGGCCGTTGATCTCGCTCTTGCGATCTGGCGAGATCCGGCCATGAATGGTATGAATGAGTTTTAATGTTTTAATGTTTTAATTTTAAAATGTTTTTTATTAGGATTCTAAATGTATTGTGAGCCGACCTGAGTCTTCAGAGAGGGGTGGCATATAAATTGAATTAAATTGAAAAAAATTGAAATGATTTACAATTGGGTTGGTATGCCTTTTTATGGTACGGGAAACAAAGGATACATGGATATTTCCAAAGACATTATCTAAGAAATGGTTTGTTATCAGTGTGGGAGAGAGTGAAAGAAAAACATTATTTGAATATTCCAATAGAAGCAGTGACATATCTCAATATTGTGAACATGGGGAATATTGTGAGATATAAAGACATTCTGACAGATCGGAGAGAGCTGAAACAAAAACAAGAACTAGAGAGTCAAGGGATCGAGATAGATTGGTATACAAATTTGCAATTACAATCAAGATATGAAGCAGATCGTAGACAATATGGCTTTAACTCGGGGAAATCTGAACTGGATGAAATATTGACAGGAACAGATGACAAAATGATTAAGAAAGTATATAATTATTTATTGTGTATTAGTTAGAAGACGAAGAAGTAAAAGTAACAATGATAGCATGGGCCAAGAATTTTGGATACACCATAGAATTGGATAAATGGCAACAACTTTGAGTAAGAAATGATAAATTAACAATGGCAACAGCCTATAAAGAAAACCTGTATAAGATGTTTTATAGATGGCATGTGCCACCAGAAAGATTAGCTAAGATGTTTAAAGATAAATCAGCTAAGTGTTGGAAATGTCACCACTTGCCGGGATCATACCATCATATGTGGTGATTGTGTAAAGAAGCAAAACAATATTGGCTGAAAATACAAACATGGTTAGAGGGAATGTTGCAGCAACATATAGAGTTAAAAGCAGAGATATTCTTATTGGGAATTTTACCAGAGAATTATAGTAAAGAAGATACATATTTGATTATTCATATAATAACAGCGGCTAGAATTGCATTTGCACAAAACTGGAAAGCAGATAAAATCCCATTGGAAGGAGAGTCTTATTTCTGAGCTTGTTCATTCCTGCATGTATGACAATTTCAATTATTAATTGGTTTATTTTACTAATTGATGATTATGTTGGAATTTAATGTCATTAACATTATACTCTTCATATGTTTATTTCCTTCTCTTTTAAAAAGCTTTAATTGTCACATTGATTCAAAGGAAGGATACAAAACACCAATAGCTGCAATGAAAAAATTAAATGTGATAAGCCTAAGAAACAATTTCACTGTCATTTCTGTACTTTTATCATGAGATGTTCCTTAGTGTTTAGATCTGGCCTCAGGATAATAATGAAGCACTTTGGGAAGAAGATGCAACCCAGCAGTCCAACACTGGAGGCCAAGATGGAGAAGACCTGAACAATCACCATGGACTTTCCTTTGGTGCTCAGATAGGTGGGCACGAAGGAGATCCAAACACTGCAGAAGACCAGCATGCTGAAGGTGATCAGCTTGGCTTCATTGAAGGCCCCAGGCAGATTCCTAGCCAGGAAAGCTACAGTGAAGCAAATGGCAGCTAGGAAACACATATAGCCAAGGCCAACATAAAACATGGTGACAGAGCCTTCATTGCATTGGAGGATGATCGCTCCAGGCTGGGAGTTTAAGTCAGAGTCAGGGAATGGGGGAGAAATTCCCAGCCATAAGGCACAGATGAAAATTTGTCCAGCAGAACCAGAAAGGATGATGGAATTGGCCAAGCTCTTCCCCAACCATCTTCTCATTTTATTCCCTGGTTTTGATGCCAGGAAGGCCAGCACTACCGTGATCGTTTTGGCCAACACAGATGACACAGCTATTGAGAAGACAATGCTGAACACAGTTTGTCGAAGAAGACAGGTGGCTTTCCTTGGCTGTCCAATGAAGAAAAAGGAGGACAAGAAGCAAAGCATGAGGGAGACCAGGAGAATGTAGGAGAGGTCCCGGTTGTTGGCTTTGACAATGGGAGTTTCTAAGTATTTAATGAATATGATTAAAATGAATCCTGTGAATAGGAACAAGAGTAGGGCAATGGACACCAGGATGATGCCCAGATGTTCTTCATAGGAGAGGAAGGTTATTCTTTTTGGGATACATTGGACTCTGCTCTCGGTTGGATATTGATCATCTGGGCACTTGGTGCACTTTTCAGTATCTGAGAAAACAAAAAGCAATATTTCTTTTATATCTCTTTTCACCTTTCAAGAAAGATCTTCTTTGGATGGCAGATGATACCAACCAACCATGACAGGTGCCAATTTTGGAAAAAAAACAACAGGGGCAGGTTGACAATACTAACTGTGACTGTGGGATCATCCCAAAAACTTTATATCATGTTATGATGGAATCGGGATGCGGTGGCTCAGTGGCTTGTCGATCGAAAGGTTGGCAGTTCAGCGGTTCAAATCCCTAGTGCCGCGTAACATGATGAGTTCCCTTTCCTTGTCCCATCTTCTGCCAACCTAGCAGTTCGAAAATACATTAAAAATGCAAATAGAAATATAGGGACCACCTTTGGTGTGAAGGTAACAGAGTTCCGTGTGCCTTTGGCATTTAGTCATGTTGGCCACATGACCATGGAGATGTCTCCAGACAGTGCTGGCTCTTCGGCTTTGAAACAGAGATGAGCACTGTCCCCTAGAGTTGGGAACGACTAGCACATATGTGCAAGTGGAACCTTTACCTTTACCTATGAGGGAATGCGCCCTCAGAAGGTTCTCTGAATCCTTGCATGAAATACATCATCTCAAGGGCATTGCTGCCCAATGGCTAAATGGTCCAGATATCCAGCGATAGGCTTAGCCACTCTAGTAACTGCTCATATATAATTTAATTTCATTCATAATTGTACCCATCATTCCTATTATGCATTTTTAAAATAACTTACTGTTCTGCTGTTTTATATTTTGATACACATTTTATATGCTGTTTCTGTTAACTTTATGTATTAATGCTGTATTCTGCTACACCGTATGAAATAAATACAATAGCTTAGTTGGTTCTCTTTTTTCCCTGATTTCTGTTTAGATCGGTTTCCTTTTAATACCAATAGTTAATAGTCCTTATTAGAACCACAGCTATATCCCTTTTTTTGTTGCTGTTGTATTTCATTATTTAATATCCAAGGAAATTGGAAAGATAAGACGAAGAGGGAAGATTCGGTAACAATGCAACCGAGGAAGCCATGATGGTGGCAATGCTGAATCTGGGAATGTTGAACTGGCCTATAAACCATATTTGGGTTTTACCTCTTAATCCGTAATATGGAAAATTAAAGCAGTAAAAATAAAAAAGGCAAATTTTACCCCTACTAATGGTAATTTATTTTACATCCCTTCTTTCACACAAAACTGCTCCAAGTCTTTTATGGTGAGTCTTTTGTATATATTTCTCTTGTCCCTTGAACCCAAATCCTCTCCCTCTGTGGTCCCCTGAATTACTTCTTCCTGCTTATGTGGTTCCATGACCTTGATAAAGATTGATTGATTGATTGATCGATTGATCGATTGATTTATGTACAATATTCAAGGTAAGTCACAGTAGCAGTCCAACCAAGGAATGCAAGGAAACCATGGTTATGCTAAATCTGGGAATGCTAAACTGGGCTATAAACAATATTTGGGTTTTACCTCTTAATCCATAATATGGAAAAATAAAGCACTAAAAATAAAAGAGGCAGATTTTACCCCTAATAATGGTAAATGTAATTTATGTCCTTTCTTCCACATCGTTTATGGCAAGTCTTCTGTGTGTATTTCCCTCGTCTCTCCATGGTTATCTGAATTAGATCTTTCTGCTTTTCTGGTTACATGACCTTAATAAAGATTGACTGATTAATTAATTGATTGATTTATATATCTTTTGGCCTGTAATACAAACTGGTTTGGGTAAGCAAAAGTCATTGATCTGAAACCATTTCTCAATTTCAAAGAATGCAGATGTTCCTAAGAGCAGTAATGATGGGAGGACAGCTCCAAACTAGCAAGAAAAGAGAAATGTCCTCGGATGCAAATAATCTTGCAGAATCCACCATGTTCTTCTATCTCTTCCTACCTTGTCCCTCAAAATCTTTTTCTTATTCTTCCCCTTAGGGAAGAAATTGGGTACCTTGAAAATTGAGAACCACAAAATTGTTAACCTTAGATGTCTCTTTTAAAATGCACATTGATCAAAATGCTCTGGATGAATCTAGTAGCCTTTTCTTTGGCGTCATTCACCTTCCTGAGTGGAGATGGTCCCTTCTGGACAATGAATACAGTCATAGCAGCATACTGGCTCTCCTTTTCGAGCTTGCTTGAAAAATCCAGGATGACAATTTTCCACACATTTGGACCGAGGCAAAGACTAAGCAGGAAAACCAGGAGTGCCAAACAAAATATGTTAGAACTAACCCTTAATGAAAAATGGAGATAGACATGAACATTAGTCAACTAGTTGCTGGACTTCACTTAGGAAAATACGAACGTTTTAAGTAACTCTCAATGTTGCAGGAGATACAACTAATGACAGATTCTTCATTTAATTTCTCCCTTTTGCTGCTAGAATATCTCTTTGCAATACAGGACATTTCTACTTAATAAATTCTGGACCTAAGCAATTGAGAAACGATTTAACCATGAAGTGACAATTAGTGTCACATAAATACATACACACATTCACAAATACATACACATACATACATACATACACATATATAAATACAACCACATGATTGTATTATCATGACAGCAGGAACGGACTGGAAAATAGCAGGCTCTGATGAGCCACGCAAAATCCAGCCGGACGAACTGCTGGCAGGAGGCTTTCGAGCCACAGCTATCTTGTAAGGATGGTGAAGAAAGGAGAAACGTTTCATTGACTGCGAGGAATTGGCAATTTCCTTCCTGGAACAGAAACAGCTCTCCCGAAGCAGCAGCGGGGGCAGCGGCCATCTTATGCTTTGAAACTGGGACAACCGGACTGAAGTATTGAGCAGGAGTGGCATTTGGATGGAGAGACAGAACTGGGGGAAGATAACTGCCATTTTAAGCTAAGAAAAACGGGAATTGAAGTCTTAAAAGAATCCCTGAATTTGGATTAGTGGCTATCTGGCACTTGGGGAGAAAAAACACAAATGCAGAAAAAAGAGAAAGCATGAACTATAACACAAAGAATCTAAGAGAAAGTCTTGGATTTGTAAAATTGGGAAAAAGCAAAATATTTTTAAAAGGGAATAAACGATGTTTGGAAGAAAAATAACAAATTATAAGAGGTTTTGAAAAATTATTGAATATTTTGATAAACAATTGGATTTAAAAGACTATTTTGCAACATGTAGAAACTGAGAGTGCCATCTGCTGGAGAAAAGAAAAAGTACTGTGATACTGTATTCAAATAGGCAAAACAGGAAGCAGCTGTTTGAAGAACAAAGGACAAAAGGGATACGGGATGGAAGGGTGAAGAAATTTCTTTAGATCCTCAATTCCAATATATTCTGCCTATTAGATGTACCTTCAGGGGGATGGACTTAATCTTAATTAATGTATATATCGCTCCATTTTCATTCCACCTTCTAGGAAGGGATTTGTGGGATGAATTAGATTCAGTATTAGCTACCTTAAAGGGACGCTTTCCCCAAGCAAAAATTATATTAGCTGGAGATACTAATGCAAGACTAGGTCCCTCAATGAAGAGCTATGCTAACAGAGGCCTGGTACCAACTGGTTACTTTTATAATGAGTTCACTTGTCCACTCAATGGACAAGAGGACCAATAAATATGCCCAGAGGTTAATTTCCCTGCTGTTTATGAATGATATGCAAGTACTTAGTGGCTCGAGTGATGGGTATATATATCCCTATACTTTCTCGTCCAACAAAACCTCAACCTCTATCGATTATATCTGCACTTCCTCTAGTTTAGTACACCATTTTTCAGAAGTAAGAGCTATATTTAGAGAGGAAAGTGACCACTTTCCCATCACGGCTCTGGTTTCACTCTCTTCAGAAGTTAGGCCTCATTCAAGAGAGGAAATTGACACCTTAGCAAACGCCCGGGTTTATAACTATAAAAGGTTACATTGGCACAGACTTGATGTCAAATCTGTCACCACTTGTTTGGGCTCAGATGAAGCCAGACACCTAGCAAGGAAAATCTCCCAATCTAAGCCCGGAGACAACACCCCAATGCCAGATTATACAGAGCTAACTTCTACTCTTAGGAACTTAATGATCCAGAACGATAGAAAAGTAGATGGGATCTCTAGAAAGTGGTTTGATGATGATTGCCATAACTTGAGGTCAAATCTAAGAGCCACAGTTAAGAAAGTTAATCAATCCAGACAGGATGGTGATTATTCAAATATGGTTCAACTCAGGAGAGCATACAAATCCCTCCTGAAAAACAAGAAAAGTAGCTATAACACCAGGATGTGGAAAGAGGTAGAAATGGCAGCGAAATCCCAATTCCCTATGATTTTTTGGCATAAGATAGCCGGTATATTAAAACAACGTTCCCCATTTATGGACACTGATATATCAGCAGTAAAATGGGAGAAGCACTATCTTGTTTTATTTGATGGTAACAATACAACAAATGTCTTGCAATTGGATATCCTCCAGCAAGAATTAAGGAAATGTCCGGAATGGACACCAGTTACCCCTACCGAAGTTAAGCACATAATTCAATCCTTAAAGGCCGGGAAGGCCCCTGGAGAGGACTTGTTGCCTCCTGAACTCTTTAGGTCCAACATTGACTTTTGGGTACCGGTGCTGGTAGCACTGTTTACTTATATCAATAAAGTAGGGATAATCCCTGAAGGGTGGAGGTTAGTTATAGTTTTTCCAATTTTTAAGAAAGGTGACAGAGCTGCCCCATCCAGCTACCGACCCATCAGTCTTCTTAATATAATTTCAAAAATGTATACGAAACTTCTCCTAAATAAAATAGAGGACTGGTGCTTGGATAAGGAAATTCTGGCAAATGAGCAGGCAGGTTTTAGATCAGGTAGGTCTACCATAGACAATTGTTTTGTCCTTTCCCACTTAATTAATAAATACAAGACCCAGGGGAAAAAGCTGTATACCGCCTTTATTGACCTTACTGCTGCTTTTGATTCTATAGATAGGAACCATTTGTGGAGGAAACTACAAGTTATGGGGATGGACCCCAGACTTATTTTGTTGATCAGGATTCTCTATACTAATATGGCAATTAGAGTCAGATATGCAGCAAATGGGGCCTCAACAAACAGCATACCGACAACTAGAGGAGTGAGGCAGGGCTGCCTGCTGGGCCCTACTCTTTTTAACCTTTATATAAATGATATCCCAGTGCAGCTGGATGATCTTCTGACGCACAGCCCCCAAATAGGCTCTAGATTTATTAATGTATTAATGTATGCCGATGACTTAGTGTTGTTTTCTAGAACCCAAATAGGAATGAGGAGACTTCTTGACAAGCTCACACGTTACTGTACTGCAAACCACTTGACTATAAATGTAGCTAAATCAAAAGTTTTAGTTTTTGGCAATAAGAATAAAAAGCATAATTGGCAGATAAATGACACAAAAATTGAGCAAGTTACCCAATATACTTATCTTGGAATTGTTTTTTCCAGTGCAGGAAGTTGGACTCCGCACCATCAATACCTTTCTCAAAAGGTCAGAGCAGGAGCAAGCCTTGTATCCAAATTAAGTAAACGAATCCAACCAACCTCCATTGTTCCTCTTCATAAAGTCTTTCAGGCTAAACTTGTTCCGATCATGCTCTATGGTGCTGAAATTTGGGGTCTTACAGAGGCCCCCATATTAGAGAGAACTCAAAATAATTTCTTAAGGATAAATTGCTTGGGGTAAACAATTCCACTTCAGCTGCAGCTGTCAGAGCTGAATTGGGACATTTCTCACTGTACACCTATACAATCACTAGGGCGGTAGCCTATGGCTAAAAATGACCCAGATGGATGCCAGCAGACTCCCTAAAATATGTCTAGAGGAACAGCAGATTTCAAATCCTCAAAGGTATTCCTGGCTAACCCGGCTGTCAGAAATATTGAACCGATATGGCGTAGGGTTCCCGTTGTGTGACACACTGAACCAAGTTAAACAACGGATTAAAGATATACATGGGCAAATGGACATGGCAACCCTTTCAACTAATCATTCCCTTAAACTGCTGACAGCAGTTAAAACAACTTTCACTCTGGAAAAGTATTTACATTTAGAAATGCCATCAGTGGAGAGACAGTTATTTGTTAAGTTTAGATTCGAACTTCTAGATACCAACGTTAGATTCGGCCGTTATCGGAAAATCCCGTATGACAAAAGAATATGCATATGTGGGGTAAACTTCGTGGAGGACACGGCGCAAATAATATTCGAATGTAGTTTCTATCAAGAAGTAAGAAAACAATATCTGTCCCCAATTATAAATAAATTTCCCCACTGGAATATAAGCCAAAAATTAGCATTTCTGTTGAGGGCTGACTCTCCTCCCCTGGTAAGAGCGATCACTCGATACCTTAAAAGAATGACGGCAATACGAGCCAGTTATATATAAAAAAAAATTATCGATTGTAAGGAAGATGAGCTCAGTTAGAGAGGAGCTATCCTATTTGGGTTATCTAGTCTTGGCAACTTAGCTATTGAAATTTGATATTGTAAAATTTTAATGTCATCTATCATACATTTTTAGATTGCTATTTTTGTAACTTTTTTATCTTTTTCCCTTTTTTTTTCTGTTTTGTTTGAAAAGGCCTTCGGGCTATTCAATAAACTATACTATAAATAGACAAAACAGGAAGCAGCTGTTTGAAGAACAAAGGACTATTTTAAGAAGAAAAGGAGAAAAGGAGATATAAGAAAATTACATAGACTTTAAATTTTGGCTAAGTGAGAACGTTTAAGGAGTGACTGTGTTTTACTTCTGGGTGGCTGTTTATTTCCCTTCTCTTCTGGAAGACAGCTTCATAATGGGATTTGACTGTTGCTGAATTTGAATAATAATGAATAATTGAGAATAACATTTTAATTTTAAAGAATAAAAGGAATAATCAAAGAAGGAAAAAGCAAAGAAGCGGAGATACAAGAAAACTATATAGTCCTTAAATTCTGGTTAAGTTCATAGAGAAATAATTGGGGAGGTATTAAATTGTTAAAAAATGGAGTTGCAGATGTATGAAGAGTTACTTTTGATGCTTAAAAGCATGTGTGAATCTTTAATAGGCAAAAAAGAAATGGAAAATTCATTTTAAAATACAGAAAAAGAAAAGGAAGAGGAGTTGGAAGAGAAAAAATTAAATGAGAAGCAAGAAATTAATAATGTTGAAGAGCAAGTATTAAAAAATAGAAATCAGATAGAAAATTTCACAGAAATGTTTGGGAAAGTTAAAAGAGCAGAGAGGAAAGGGGAAAAATCCCCCCTAAAACAGAAACAGACAAAAGGGAAAAGGGGGAATATCTGGAAGAGACAAGGGAAAACTTTAGTAAGGGAAGTTCAAACAACACAACAACAACAACAACAACAACAACAACAACAACAACAACAACAAGAAAAGATAAAAGGAGCCAGAAGAAGAAATGTAACATATATAAAAAGAAAAAAAGAGAGAACTGAGAAATTAGAGCGAGATAAAGGGTCGTGCAAAAAACTGTTAGAAAGGAGGATGTTAAAAAGATTTCGAGATGATGGGTAAAGATGAGATGATGAAGTAAACATTAGGAAATATACATAAAATAGATTAATAAATGGGAATGGGAAAGTAGACAATATAATAATAATGGTGTTTTTTAAAGCCTTTTAAATTAGAATGAAATTTTAATTGTTATAGTAGTGGCAAGAGAGAAGAAGTATAGGATATACTGTGATGTTAGCTAGATGAAAGCATTAATGACTTGATAAAGCAATATGTGAGAATAACATGGCAGAAGTTGAAAAAATAAGATAGGGTGGAAAATGATTATAAGTGATTATATGAGAAAGATGAATGAAGCCCTGCTCCTGTGGCCTAGAGGTGGAACTCTTGCCTCACAATCAGGAGGTTGTGAGTTTGATCCTAGGTAGGGGCGGATGTAGGGTATCTTGCTTGGGCAGGGGATTAGATCCCTTCCAACTCTGTTAATCAGAATAGAATTTGTTTACATTAAATCCTAATAGATAGAAAGGGGAAAATAAGTAATTTGACGATACTATTAATTTTGATAACAATGTAATTAAAATGAATATTTAAAATGCTAATTGTATAGAAAATAATAATGTTCAAAACATGAAAGTGTTTCTTTTTGCAAAGAAGAAAAAATAGAATATGTTGGTGATAAACCACAGCAGACGGAAAGGGGAAAATAGGTAATTTATTATTATTATTATTATTATTATTATTATTATTATTATTATTATTATTATTATTATTATTATTATTATTATATTGGTTAATCTTTAGTGAGATTCACAGCCTTTGAGGCTGGTTAATAGCTCAGCAGCTCGAGTCCTAACCAAGGACCTAGGAACTGTTAAGGTATCGTCGGAGGATGTAAGCTGTTCCGAGTAAGGTGGTTTTTTGTAAAGTAAAAATGTTCAAGTCCGGCAAATTTAGAATTTCTAAATAGCGCGGTAGCCCTTTGGGTATTGCTCCGAGGGCTCCAATTACAATCGGGACAACACACGATTTCTTTTTCCACAGTCGCTCAACTTCAATTTGTAAGTCCCGGTACTTTGTGATTTTTTCTTGCTGCTTATCTTCAATTCGTGCATCACCAGGTATTGCAATGTCAATGAACCATACTTTTTTCTTTTCAACTATTGTTATGTCAGGTGTGTTGTGGACCAAGTGCCTGTCAGTATGAATCCTAAAGTCCCACAAGATCTTGAGTTTCTCATTCTCTAAAACTTTCTCAACCTGATGTTCCCAGTGGTTTTTGCTGTACTCAAATCCAAACTTCTGGCACAATTTCCAGTGAATGATTTTAGCAACACGGTCATGGCGTTGTAGGTAGTCAGTTTGTGAAATTTTGCTGCACCCACTGATCAGGTGGTCAACTGTCTCTTCTTTTTCATTGCAGAGGCGGCATTTACTGTTGGTGGTAACATGTTCAATTTTTGCCTTCATACAGTTTGTGGCTAGGGCTTGTTCTTGAGCTGCCAAAATAAAGCTTTCTGTTTCTTTTTTCAGTACTCCTGATCTTAACCAGTTCCAAGTTAGTTTCTGGTCAGCTTTGCCTTCAATACTTTTCAGGTATTGGCCATGCAGAGCTTTGTGTTTCCAATTTTCAGCTCGCTGCTCAGTTACTTCTTTCTTATATTCTGCTTTTGTTTTAGTTGTCTTTAAAAGGCCTCCTTTATTTACTTCCTTAATCATTGGTTCTTCACTTTTTAGGATGTAATCATTCAAGCTGCATTTTTCTTCTTCCACAGTCTGCTTTACTTGTAGGAGTCCTCGACCACCCTCTGCTCTTGGTAAATATAATCGGTCAACATCACTTTTAGGGTGCAAGGCATGATTCATTGTCATAAGCTTCCTTGTTTTTCTGTCCAAATTGTCTAACTCCATCTGGGTCCAGTCAATTATTCCTGCAGAGTATCTAATCACAGGTATAGCCCAGGTATTTATGGCTTTTATGATGTTTCCTCCACTCAATTTGGACATTAATATCTTACGAATTCGTCGAATGTACTTGGCTGAAGTTAATTCCTTGACTTTATTATGCATTAAGTCAGAGGCTTCTAAAATTCCCAAGTACTTGTAGCCTTCTTCTGATTTTACTGCCTTTATCATTTCTTCATTCTCTAGTTCTATTCCATCCTCTTCTATGATCTTGCCTGCTTTGGTTGTTATTGTTGCACATTTGTCAATTCCAAACTGCATACCAATGTCTTGGCTGAATTCTTTTGTGTTTTCAATTAATAAATTCAGTTCAGCTTTTGTTTTACCAAACAGCTTCAAATCATCCATGTACATCAAGTGCGAGATTTTCAGTCCTTTCTTTGCAAGTTCGTATCCACAGTTCATCTTCTTCAAAATGATTGTCAGTGGTAGCATTGAGAGTATAAAAAGTAGGGGTGAAAGGGAATCGCCCTGGAAAATGCCTCGTTTAATTTCAACTTCACCCAGTTCTTCTTCATTAGCCATAAGTTTTGTTTTCCAGAGGTTCATTGAAGATTCCATGAATTTTTGTATGTTGCTGCTGATGCCTAATATTTCCAGGCATTTCTTGATCCAGCTATGGGGAACTGAATCAAATGCTTTCTTATAGTCTATCCAAGCCATGAACAGGTTGGTTCGTCTTTTCTTTGAGTTCTTTAGGATTATCTTGTTGATTATTATTATTATTATTATTATTATTATTATTATTATTATTATTATTATTTCTATGCCGCCCACTCTCCGAGGACTCTGGGCGGCTTACAACAAAGACAGTATACTAAATAGCATATTGCCCCCAACAATCTGGGTCTTCATTTTACCCACCTCCGAAGGATGGAAGGCTGAGTCAACCTTGAGCAGGTGAGATTTGATCCGCTGATTTGCTGAACTAGCAGTCAGCTGAAGTAGCTGCAGTACTGCACACTAACCACTGCGCCACCTCAGCTCATTTTGAAATCAAGTTAATTAAGATGACTGTATTATTGTTAATGAATGAGAAAAAGGAATTAGAGAGACTCTTCTGGAAATGAAGAAAGATGGCAAACAACTGGAGCAATTGTCATTGAGAAGAAATATAGCGCAAAGTGATGTTATTTGAATATAAAATTGAAAACGATAAAAAATAATAGGGGGGAGGAATTAATATGGCAGAAGTTGAAATAATAAGATATGGAGAAAAATGATAAATTTGGGATAAAGGATTACACAAAAGAGATAAATATTGGAAAAAATAGGAAGATTAAGAAGTATTAAAAGGATGATTTTGATTATGTATAAAATGTGAACTCTGTTCATAAAATATGTATGGTGAAAGAATTTTTTTTTAATAAAACTTTTTTTTTTTAAATAGCCATACGTCTTAAAGAATTATCACCTAGCTGAATCAATTTGAAACACTGTCCTATATTACAGCATCCGAAAGATACCTTGCCAATTGTACTGAAGCGTCCCAAGCCTTTTAAGAAAATTATAAGGCTTCTATTCCCCACATTCAATTCTCCCTGTATTGGTGCATAGGCTTAGCCACTTGAAAAGTCTCTCAAGGCTTTGGAAAACAGAGAAAAGACACCAATGTTTCACCCACCTTATTGAGCAACCTTAGCTGTGAAAGAGCATCTGGATTGATAATAAGTCTCTGTCTTTCAAAACTCCCCACTTGCTTTATAATGGGATCCTCCCTGGACTGAACTATCAAGCTTACGATGTTCAAATCTGCTGTCACATCCCCATTTTGGTCCAAGTACAGTTTCAAGTAGGAAAGATTGCGAAATTCGTTCTTCTTCAGAAATGGATGGAACTAGAAGAGAAATATCCAGGAATGTTAAAAGCAGAAACCTTGGTTTTTCTATCACACGTTGTTGTTGTTGTTTTCAGATTTGAGTCTTTCTGCTACAGTGGTCTCACTTGAGTTGGGACAACAAATGTTATCACTGTCCCCAAAAGGGGAAAAGAAAGGTTCAGCAAAATTTGTCTATCATGTAAATATTGATAAAATAAATAATTGATGAAATTGGTAGGGTATAGGGAGCATTCTAGACTGGATCACAAATAAAATGAACAAACAAATGAAAAGATAATTCATAAAGCCCTTGAAAACAAGGAGAGATTCTGGCTGAATGAAAACCATCCTAAAAGGAGGAACAATTTTACAGCTGATCCCGTGAACCAGAGAAGTTTCCCCTTCACTGATTGTTTTAATGCAAAACAGCCATCACTTAGAGAAGATTTAACTGGGATTCCTGCAGACAGAAAGGGTTATGCTGTATCAGTGATGGTGAACCTTTTTGGCACCAAGTGCCCAAATCAGAGCACGCGCCACAGCTCTAGAAATCCGAAGACCAGCTGGCCGGCATACACAAGTGGCGGCCACCTGGTTTTCGGGTTTCCACCAAGCACATGTGCACTGGCCAGCTGGTATTGGGGTTTCTGGCATGCACGAAGACTAGCTATGTGCCAGAAACCCGAAGAGCAACTGCCAACAGTGTGCATACCCGCAGAGAGGACTCTGCGTGCCACCTCTGACACGCGTGCCATAGGTTTGCCATAACGGTGCTAGGGTCTCCTTCAAATGTATGAACACACAATTCTAAAATGCTAATCACAAATTCATAAAGATAGGAATTTACTTAAAATGCATACATATTTTATAAAATTAACTGTTTAATATCAAAATATAAATGTCATGGAAACCGCTCTTTGGAAAATTATCCACAAGTGATTAGATGGACCAAACTTGTTGGCCTTTTGAAGCACAAAAAGGTTGAGATAGTTTCCTTTTCCCCTTTGTATTCCTTATCCAAAGAAAGTAACTTTGATGGATCTTTGTCAGGACCCCATACCTGCCATGGCTGCAGCCTTTGAGTCCCGAGTCCCTCTTTTCTTCTCCTCTTGGATATGGAGGAATACGCAGCATTCAAGGCATGGGCCAGAGTATTCATCAAAGAGTAAATAAAGGAGTTATATTGGTTCCAGATCTTATTTCTTTCCACTTTGGTCTTCAGTGGAGATTTCTGAGTGCATCTTCTCCGGCCTTTGACAGAAATGATGTCTTCTGAAAAAGAACAGAGAAAAGATTGATCTCCGAACTGTGGTTGCACAAAGAGATCTGGTTCAAAGGAACTGTCCTTTGGCCTTTCTTTCCACTGGAAAATGTAGATCCAAACACTATGGATATATTTCAGAAATATGTGTCTTTTTATTTGCCTTTCCCCAAGGCCTGCAATTATCCAGACTTTCCCTTCAATGGGTTCTTGCATACTTTTAAGTGTTGAATGGAAAACATGAATTCTGTCCCAAACAGCAAAAAATTCTACGATGTGAACAAAGACATTGACTTGTCTCCACTTGGAAATGGCAACCCTGAGGGGTGCTGTATGTCCAGATGGTGAAATTTGTTCTGATATAACAGCACAAATTCCATTCCTGACCAGCATAAGACTCAATGTCCTCATGGAATTCTCTCCCTTCTCTGTGTCTGAAGCAAAGAGACCAATCAAGGTCCATTTGAAATGGAGGAGTAGTTGGACAATTCCTGGGAAGTGGATCCCTTCTTTGGGGAGCATCCGGTAAAAAAATGAGAATTGACTTTTATCACTCAGAGCCGCTGAAACAATGTTAGCAGTGATCTGAAAAAGCAATGAACAATGCCGTCATTCTTTCAATAAATCCAACTTTTTCCTCATCAAGGTATTAGAATATTGTATTCCTGATTAGCTAATATTATAGACAGAATATTGGCAAGACCAGATAAAAAATACAAGAAAAGAAAGGAAATAATAAAAAAATAAGAATAAAGAATGCAAATGATATTTCTTGATTACTCCCTTTTTTTCTGAAATCAGACCCACATTTGCAAATTCAACTGAATTGTTTTGTTCAAATAAAGAGCCATATTTTATGTCAGATTTTTAAATTCTGTCCACAAAGGTTATATGTTGTTTTAATATAAGGATTTTGACCTTCTCCTTATTTTCACAGGTGTGCAGTAGAAGCCCCCAAAGCAACGGGGATGGTGTCATGAGATGATAGGGCTGCTTTCCCCTCCCCAGTATCAATCCCATCCATCACTAGACAATATACCTCCACTGGCCACAGAGGAAAGCAACTCTTGAATGCCCTAGAATGGATATGGTTGAATTTATTGCTTACCCATCCTACCAATTCACTCTTTTTACTAGAAAGAAAGGCACACACACAAACCTGTGGGACTTTGTAGGTGTCTGCTAATGTTGACATCTGAATGGAGATGTCCCTGTCAGCTGCATCAAGAAGAGACAAAAGGTGGTCCTTCCTTCCACAGCTGTAGTTGGGAACATTGGCTTCTCCACTCGAGAGCATGTCCAGCAAGGCATCTGAAGTGCCAATTGTGTTCAGATAGTTGTCATGGATGTCGTAGCCAAGTGTGAGATTTTGCAGGAGCTGGGAATTCTTATTGACCACTTGAATAGCGAAAATAAAGCGTAGGATTTTAGACCGATCAGAAGATATGCTACTGTAAAAGAATGTTCATTTTTATCATCACCATTACCATCATCATGAATAGCAAAATATATTTTATATTTTTGATATATTTTTGCTTGACTAATCAAAATAAAGCATAGCATTTTTCAATGAGCATTAGATAAACTCTTGTAAAAATGAACAAACTGCTGTAAATATGATCATGTCATTATCATCAACGGAACCAACAATTTACTTCTTTTCAATCTAAACTACTTTGTCTTTTGAAGCCTACAGAGTCTTAAGCCATTACTGACTCCAAACCCAGAGATAAATGATACTCACCCATCTCCATTCAATTTTAATGAACATTGGGAAGATGGAATTGATACAGTCCTCCACATGGGATAAGAATCGGAAATACACTATTCTTTGGGGCAGTACTAATTTTCATCTGCCCAATAATCAGGATTCAAAATAATTGAATAATTACAGTAGAACTGCCATGAAAGGAAGAAGATGCTTCAAAAGTGACCCAGAAACCAATTCTAAAAATAAGTTATCCTGTATTTCTATAAGGATCTGGAAGTAAATATCAATGAGTAGTTGTATTTGAACTGAGCTGGGCAGGGGAAAACTACAAGAATCATTAATTTAAACAAAAATCAGTATTCAAATCATGAATTCAAGATTGAACAGGCAGAGGAAAATAATGTGGACTTGTTTCATATTATTTTTCTGTTCCATCTTTGGATTTGAATCTGTTCCTCAAAATAAGACAAAGAAAGCATGGAAATCAAAATGATTCAGGAAATTAGACAGGAGAGGTGCTGCCATATCTAACTGGAATAAGTGGAATAAGGAGGGAAAAAATGAGGTGTTAGAATTATAAATGGAGGGACTGCAACTCCATTATCCTGAATGACTTACGAATTAGACTGACTAGAAGGAGCTGCATTGAAAGGGAACATTATAGGAGATATTTTTGTTCCACTGGTGATAACAGCAATGAGATGGCCTCCTGGTCTGTAATAGCTCCATGGTTTTTCTCCATTCTGGTGTTCCAGAGTCAGTGGACATTTCATTCTAAGCTTTCCAGAGATTGGCTGGGACAGCAGTAGCATCAGAAGCAGAAGTAGGAGGTTCATAATTCATGGGGCTGAATCAATTCCCTTCCTGTTTCTAAACAAGAACAAGAAGAGTTGAAGAATTAAAAGCCCTGAGAATTAAAAGAGACAAATCATGCTTCACCTGGAAAGGAGAGAAAAGGACATTTAACAGCACAGCCCCTGCCTGTCCTAAAATTCACATAACACAGTGTGACTTAAAGCATTTATCCTTTTCTGATGCAAGATCCCCTCCACAGTGCTTCAGTCTGATGTTTACATCAAAGGCAGTCACTAGAGAAGTAGAAGGAGACATCTCAAAGAGCAGGATGGTGATAATTACAGTGAGAAGCAACTTTTCCTCTGGGGACCCTGAACTTATTCCTGATATACAGCATGTTTGTGAAAAAATACAGACATACCCCTGAGGGCAGTGTTCTTTAATGGTTCTGGTCTTTCCTGTCAGGACCTGTCCAGAAAATGATGCTGGAGGGAAATGCAGGATTTCAACACCTATGTATTTGACTTCTGCTATCCTTCAATATGGACTCTTTTCTCCAGAGACTGCTGAGTAAGGTCACCCAGAAACATGGAGTTTGGTGCCACTCTAGGTTGAGGACACTGAATATTTTTGGATTATATCATTGTATAAATATGAAGAAAGATATAGAGCTAATAGATCTTTTTTCCCCTTGACACCAATTGTTGTGACCTAGGCCCAAGTAGTTATTACCAGACACAATCAGTCCTAAACAAACCTGTTTTATTGGAACAGCTGAGAGTTACTTCATTCTCAGTTTAGTCCAAATTAAGGGGCCAATCATCTCCTGGCCTTACTCCCGAGTCGTCCTTTTTGCTTTAGCTGCTTTTGCCTTCTGGCAGCTCTTCGCATGCATGCACTAGGAACAGGCTCCTCCTGTTCCTCTGCCTCTCTGTTACTCGCTTCTGGAGGCTCTGGAGTCCGCTCATCACTCCCAGATGGCTCTGGCCCCATCTCTGCCTCTAATGCAGAGCCCTCGTCGGGACCTTCCCCTGACTCCAGAACTGGCCCATTTTCATCCCTTCACACTTCAAGAGCCAAAATAAACAGCAAAGGGAACAAAGGAAAATCTTGACTTGTTCCCTACTGGATATCACATGGTTATGACACTAAATTTCTTGAATAAAATTTTCAGCAAGACTCATATCTTTCAGAACATTAAGCAAAAAAGGCCAATGCAAATGATCAAAGGCTTTCTCTGCATCTAAGAAGAACTATACAGCTAGTTTTTTGTTATGTTGTTGTAAAAGTACTATGACAACCAACACAGTTCTCACATTGTCTTTTGTCATTTAAGTAAAAAGCCACATTGATCTTCATGAATAAACTCTTGGAAAAAAATTTTAGACTACCAGCTAAATTTAATCTGGACACTTTATCATTACCATTCATAAGTGAATGGTGATTATAAACATGCAATCTGCATCTCCCTGTAGGCGACTCTCTACAACTCTGAGGAAGATGCATCCTGAGGGTCCCCCATGGCCCCACCAGACCCTCCAGTCAAATTCTCCCCTGCAGCCACTGCTCCCACTTGCCCCAAAGGCTCCACTTGGGGACAATCCAGGGGTGAAATGGTACCAGTTCGGGCTAGTTCACCCGAACCGGTAATAAAAAATGCTACTGGTTCACCGAACCGGTATTAAAAAATGTAAAAGAAAAGTTCCAACGATCAGCTGAGTGACGCACAATCGTCGGAACTTTTTTTTTTATTTTACTTTTTAAGCATTTTTTTACAACCAGTTCAGGCAAATAGATAGTAAAAAAATGCTTTAAAAAAGTGAAAAAAGGACGCTCAGATGATCGCATGAACCAACTGTTATATTTCACATGACTGGAGTGTGGACAATGTGCTTACAAAAAATAGAGAGCTGAAATAAAAAACAATTCCTTTTTGAAAAAAAATGTGTAAGCATTCCTTTTGTTAAAGGAAAATGTCTCCCCAGCAACTGCAGACAGAGAACTGAAATCACTTGTTCAAGTTTCCAGTGATTTTTGGAAAATTAAGTCTATATCAATCTACTTATTGGTGGTTCAAAATAAAAGAAAGAAGGAAGGAAAATGGAATGTTCAAACAATTGGTGGCAGAGATGGGATTGCCTCAGACTCTGGAGACCCCTAAGTGCCATCAGTGAAGAAGAAGAATGAATTGTCTGTTGGAGAGAATTTAGTTCAGGAAGATCTCAAACCCTCCAGGCACCGGCCTCAGAAATGACCTGATCTTTGATTAGGTAATTGGAGATGGAAAAGCTTGAATCCTTTTTCCCTCACACTTGGTTTGGGCAGAAATAAAGGTAAAGGTACACCTTGCACATATTGGTTAGTCATTCCCAACTGTAGGGGGCGGTGCTCATCTCCATTTCAAACTCGAAGAGCCAGCACTGTCCGAAAACCTCTCCGTGGTCATGTGGCTGGCATGACTAAATGCCAAAGATGCATGGAAGGCTGTTACCTTCCCACCAAGGGTGCTCCCTATTTTTCTACTTGAATTTTTTACGTGCTTTCGAACTGCTAGGTTGGCAGAAGCTTGAAATTTTTATTTCAAACTATACCAATAAAACTGGAGAAAAAATATTTTGAAGAGTTGAAGAAAATAATGTGGAAATATGTGTGGCAAGGAAAGAGAGCAAGGATTAATATAAAAATGCTACAAGATGCAAGAATTAGAGGTGGGTTTGGCCTTCCAAATTGGGAATTGTATTATCAAGCGGCGGCGTTAACATGGATTAAAGAATGGATTTTATTAAGGAATACGATATTATTGACATTGACAGGTTGAGACTTAACCCAGACAAGACCGAATGGCTGTGGGTATTGCCTCCTAAAGACTATGTTGACTGTCCATCCTTGGTTCGGGGGGGGGGAGAAATTGTCCCCCTCAGAACGGGCTCACAACTTGGGTGTCCTCCTAGACTCACAGCTAAGATTAGAGCAATATCTGACAGCTCTGGCTAGGGGAACCTTTGCACAGGTTCGCCTGGTGCACCAATTGAGACCCTACTTGGATCGGGAGGCTCTCCTCACAGTCACTCATGCCCTTGTCACCTCACGGTTAGATTATTGCAAAGCGCTCTACATGGGGCGACCCTTGAAAAGTGTTCGGAGACTACAGTTAGTCCAGAACGCAGCCGCGCGAGCTGTCGTGGGTGCACCTAGGTATACCCACATTACACCAATTCTCCGCAAGCTCCACTGGCTCCCTATTGTTCTCTGGTCACAATGCAAGGTGTTGGTTATTACCTTTAAAGCCCTACATGGCTCAGGGCCAGGTTATCTTCAAGACCGCCTTCTACCGCATAGCTCCCAGCGACCGGTAAGATCCCACAGAGTTGGTCTCCTCTGGGTCAGGTCAACTAAATAATGTCAGCTGGCAGACCAGCAGGGGAGGGCCTTTTCTGTGATTGCCCCAGCTCTCTGGAACCAGATACCTCATGAGGTCCAGACCATCCCCACCCTATTGGCCTTCTGAAAAGCGGTGAAGACCTGGCTTTTCCTGCAGACCTGGGGCCGTTGATCTCGCTCTTGCGATCCGGTGAGATCCGGCCATGAATGGTATGAATGAGTTTTAATGTTTTAACGTTTTAATTTTAAAATGTTTTTTATTAGGATTTTAAATGTATTGTGAGCCGACCTGAGTCTTCGGAGAGGGGTGGCATATAAATTGAATTAAATTGAAAAAAATTGAAATGATTTACAATTGGGTTGGCATACCTTTTTATGGTTCGGGAAACAAAGGATACATGGATATTTCCAAAGCCATTATCGAAGGAATGGTTTGTTATCAGTGTGGGAGAGAGTGAAAGAAAAACATTATTTGAATATTCCAATGTGGCTTTTTACAATAGAAGCAGTGACATACCCACATATTGTGTACATGGGGAATATTATGAGATATAAAGACATTCTGACAGATCGGAGAAAGCCGAAACAAAAACAAGAACTAGAGAGTCAAGGGATCGAGATAGATTGGTATACAAGATTGCAATTACAAGCAAGATATGAAACAGATGATAGACAATATGGCTTTTAACTTGGGGAAATCCGAACTGGATGAAATATTGACAGGAACAGATGAGAAAATGATTAAGAAAGTATATAATTATTTATTGTGTATTAGTTAGAAGACGAAGAAGTAAAAGAAACAATGATAGCATGGGCCAAGAATTTTGGATACACCATAGAATTGGATAAATGGCAACAACTTTGAGTAAGAAATGATAAATGAACAATGGCAACAGCCTATAAAGAAAACCTGTATAAGATGTTTTATAGATGGCATGTGCCACCAGAAGGATTAGCTAAGATGTTTAAAGATAAATCAGCTAAGTGTTGGAAATGTCACCACTTGCCGGGATCATACTATCATATGTGGTGATTGTGTAAAGAAGCAAAACAATATTGGCTGAAAATACAAACATGGTTAGAGGGAATGTTGCAGCAACATATAGAGTTAAAAGCAGAGATATTCTTATTGGGAATTTTACCAGAGAATTATAGTAAAGAAGATACTTATTTGATTATTCATATAATAACAGCGGCTAAAATTGCATTTGCACAAAACTGGAAAGCAGATAAAATCCCGTTGGAAGGAGAGTCTTATTTCTGAGCTTGTTCATTCCTGGATGTATGACAAATTCTATTACTAATTGGTTTATTTTACTAATTGATGATTATGTTGGAATTTAATGTCATTAACATTATACTCTTCATATGTTTATTTCCTTCAGTTTTAAATAGCCTTAATTGTCACATTGATTCAAAAAAAGAATACAAAACACCAATAACTACAATGAAAAAATTAAATGTGATAAGCCTAAGAAACAATTTCACTATCATTTCTCTACTTTTATCATGAGATGTTCCTTAGTGTTTAGATCTGGCCTCAGGATAATAATGAAGCACTTTGGGAAGAAGATGCAACCCAGCAGTCCAGCACTGGAGGCCAAGATGGAGAAGACCTGAACAATCACCATGGACTTTCCTTTGGTGCTCAGATAGGTGGGCACGAAGGAGATCCAAACACTGCAGAAGACCAGCATGCTGAAGGTGATCAGCTTGGCTTCATTGAAGGCCCCAGGGAGATTCCTAGCCAGGAAAGCTACAGTGAAGCAAATGGCAGCTAGGAAACACATATAGCCAAGGACAACATAAAACATGGTGACAGAGCCTTCATTGCATTGAAGGATGATCTCTCCAGGCTGGGAGTTTAAGTCAGAGTCAGGGAATGGGGGAGAAATTGCCAGCCATGAGGCACAGACGAAAATTTGTCCAGCAGAACCAGAAAGGATGATGGAATTGGCCAAGCTCTTCCCCAACCATCTTCTCAATTTGTTCCCTGGTTTTGAGGCTAAGAATGCCAACACCACCGTGATTGTCTTGGCCAACACAGATGACACAGCTATTGAGAAGACAATGCTGAACACAGTTTGTCGAAGAAGACAGGTGGCTTTCCTTGGTCGTCCAATGAAGAAAAAGGAGGACAAGAAGCAAAGCAAGAGGGAGACCAGGAGGATGTAGGAGAGGTCCCGGTTGTTGGCTTTGACAATGGGAGTTTCTAAGTATTTAAGGAATATGATTAAAATGAATCCTGTGGATAGGAACAAGAGTAGGGCAATGGACACCAGGGTGATGCCCAGATGTTCTTCATAGGAGAGGAAGGTTATTCTTTTTGGGATACATTGGACTCTGCTCTCAGTTGGATATTGATCATCTGGGCACTTGGTGCATTTTTCAGTATCTGAGAAAACAAAAAGCAATATTTCTTTTATATCTCTTTTCACCTTTCAAGAAAGATCTTCTTTGGATGGCAGATGATACCAACCAACCATGGCAGGTGCCAATTTTGAAAAAAAACAACAGGGGTAGGTTGACAATACTAACTGTGACTGTGGGATCATCCCAAAAACTTTATATCATGTTATGATGGAATCGGGATGTGGTGGCTCAGTGGCTTGTCGATCGAAAAGTTGGCAGTTCAGCGGTTCAAATCCCTAGTGCCGCGTAACATGGTGAGTTCCCTTTACTTGTCCCATCTTCTGCCAACCTAGCAGTTCGAAAGTACATTAAAAATGCAAGTAGAAAAATAGGGACCACCTTTGGTGTGAAGGTAACAGAGTTCCGTGTGCCTTTGGCATTTAATCATGTTGGCCACATGACGATGGAGATGTCTCCGGACAGTGCTGGCTCTTCGGCTTTGAAACAGAGATGAGCACTGCCCCCTAGAGTTGGGAACGACTAGCAGATATGTGCAAGTGGAACATTTACCTTTATGTATGAGGGAATGCCCCCTCAGAAGGTTCTCTGAATCCCTTCATGAAATACATCATCTCAAGGGCATTGCTGCCCAATGGCTAAATGGTCCAGATATCCAGCGACAGGTTTAGCCACTCTAGTAACTGCTCATATATAATTTAATTTCATTCATAATCTTACCCATCATTCCTATTATTCATTTTTTAAAATAATTTACTGTTCTGCTGTTTTATATTTTGATGCACATTTTATATGCTGTTTCTGTTAACTTTATGTATTAATGCTGTATTCTGCTACACCGTATGAAATAAATACAATAGCTTAGTTGGTTCTCTTTTTTCCCTGATTTCTGTTTAGGTTGGTTTCCTTTTAATACCAATAGTTAATAGTCCTTATTAGAACCCAGCTATATCCCTTTTTTGTTGTTGTTGTATTTCATTATTTAATATCCAAGAAAATTGGAAAGATAAGACGAAGAGGGAAGATTCAGTAACAATCCAACCAAGAAAGCCATGATGGTGGCAATGCTGAATCTGGGAATGTTGAACTGGCCTATAAACCATATTTGTGTTTTACCTCTTAATCCGTAATATGGAAAATTAAAGCAGTAAAAATAAAAAAGGCAAATTTTACCCCTACTAATGGTAAATTTAATTTACATCCCTTCTTTCACACAAAACTGCTCCAGGTCTTTTATGGTGAGTCTTTTGTATATATTTCTCTTGTCCCTTGAACCCAAATCCTCTCCCTCTGTGGTCCCCTGAATTACTTCTTCCTGCTTGTGTGGTTCCATGACCTTGATAAAGATTGATTGATTGATCGATCAATTGATTTATATACAATATTCAAGGTAAGTCACAGTAGCAGTCCAACCAAGGAAAACAAGGAAACCATGGTTATGCTAAATCTGGGAATGCTAAACTGGGCTATAAACAATATTTGGGTTTTACCTCTTAATCCATAATATGGAAAAATAAAGCACTAAAAATAAAAGAGGCAGATTTTACCCCTAATAATGGTAAATGTAATTTATGTCCTTTCTTCCACATCGTTTATGGAAAGTCTTCTGTGTGGATTTCCCTCGTCTCTCCATGGTTATCTGAATTAGATCTTTCTGCTTTTCTGGTTACATGACCTTAATAAAGATTGACTGATTAATTAATTGATTGATTTATATATCTTTTGGCCTGTAATACAAACTGGGTTTGGGTGAGCAAAAGTCACTGATCTGAAACCATTTCTCAATTTCAAAGAATGCAGATGTTCCTAAGAGCAGTAAACATGGGAGGACAGCTCCAAACTAGCAAGAAAAGAGAATTGTCCTTGGATGCAAATAATCTTGCAGAATCCACCATGTTCTTCTATCTCTTCCTACCTTGTCCCTCAAAATCTTTTTCTTATTCTTCCCCTTAGGGAAGAAATAGGGCACCTTGAAAATTGAAAACCAGAAAATTGTTAACCTTAGAGGTCTTGTTTAAAATGCACATTGATCAAAATGCTCTGGATGAATCTAGTAGCCTTTTCTTTGGCGTCACTCACCTTCCTGAGTGGAGATGGTCCCTTCTGGACAAGGAATACAGTCATAGCAGCATACTGGCTCTCCTTTTCGAGCTTGCTTGAAAAATCCAGGATGACAATTTTCCACACATTTGGACCGAGGCAAAGACTAAGCAGGAAAACCAGGAATGCCAAACAAAATATGTTAGAACTAACCCTTAATGAAAAATGGAGGTAGACAGGAACATTAGTCAACTAGTTGCTGGACTTCACTTAGGTAAATAAGAACGTTTTAAATAACTCTCAATTTTGCAGGAGATACAACTACTGACAGATTCTTCATTTAATTTCTCCCTTTTGCTGCTAGAATATCTCTTTCCAATACAGGACATTTCTACTTAATAAATTCTGGACAAAGCAATTGAGAAAAGATTTAACCATGAAGTGACAATTAGTGTCACATACATACATACACACACACATACAAACACAGACATACACACGTACACAAATACATACATACACATATACAAATACAACCACATGGTTGTATTACCGTGCACTACTCCTTTCTTCATTTACCCATGAATTTAAAGTGAGATGCTGGGTTCATATTAAAGCTTAGAATGAAATTTATTCTAAAATGTTAATGATTTTTTTTATTTTACTAGATTTATTAAAATTGAATAAAACTGTGATGAAGAAACCTGTGACCGGAACTGGAAAGGTTTCTTCTGGACTACATGTATCATTGCAAGGCCATCCCCATTCAAAAGTGGTCCAGAACCACCTCCAATAAAGGAAAACTTCATTATACATTTGGGCTGTCAACCTTAATGCATCTGTGTTTTGTTTATTTGTATGTTTATTTGCTAATTTTATATGGCCACCATGATGGTGAACCAAGGCTAAAACTGACTGCCTAGTTTCTAGAACTAGAGTGAGATGAAATGGAGGCTAGTCATGAGAATAGAGCTGGTATTCAGCCAGTTTAGACTGGTTTGGGTGAACCGGTAGTAGCGATCAGGGTCAAGCAAGGTTTTCATAGCTATCACATCACTGGTTCTAAATATCTTCCAACACTTTAAACTAATACAAATTATATTAATGTTAATATTATAATTCTTTAACCTTATACAGTATTTATATATATCATCATACTAATAATCTATATCATATTTCTATACAATTATACATACTTTCTACTAATCTATACCTGTACCTATCTATGCAATTTACATACATATTTATCTGTCATATCATATATATTTCTCATCTAACGCTACAGCTTTGTCTCGGCTATCTTCCTTTTATCTAGACTTTCCTAATTTTTTTTCCAGATTATATAGTACATTGATCCTTGAGCTCCAAGGTAAGTCTATCCATTTCTGTGCAGTTAAGAATTTTTAATATTATTTCCTCTTCAGTTGGGGTATCGTTCTCTTTCCATTTCTGAGCAAAGGCTATCAGTGCAGCTGTGAGTATATGCAGTAATAGATAATTTATATCTTTCTTATATTTACCCTCTGTCATTCCCAAAAGGAAAAATTCCAGCTTAACTTCTATTTTATTAATGAAATTTCTTCAAGCCAATTCTTTATTAAATTCCAATATTTTTTGCCTTTGGGCATTCCCACCACATATGGTAGAAATCCCCCACATATGGTAGAAATTGTGTCAATCCTTGTTTCAGTGCTTCAGTTTTCTGGGTCAGGGAAAACCAGAACACTCATTATGATTTCTTGTGAATGGAAAGCCTTGGACCTTCTCCCTAGGAGCAGAAGGCCTATTCTTCTATCCCCAAGGCATGAAAGACAAGTATGGAAAATTCTGACCAGTATGATCTATTAGGAAATATACATAAAATAGATAAATAAATAGGAATGGGAAAGAAGAGAATATAATAATAATGGTGTTTTTTAAAGCTTTTTAAATTAGAATGAAATTTTAATTGTTATAGTAGTGGCAAGAGAGAAGGAGTATAGGATATACTGTGATGTTAGCTAGATGAAAGCATTAATGAATTGATAAAGCAATATGTGAGAATAACATGGCAGAAGTTGAAAAAATAAGATAGGGTGGAAAATGATTATAAGTGATTATATGACAAAGATGAATGAAGCCTAGCTGCTGTGACCTAGAGGTGGAGCTCTTGCCTCACAATCAGGAGGTTGTGAGTTTGATCCTAGGTAGGGGCAGATTTAGGGTATCTTGCTTGGGCAGAGGATTGGATCCCTTCCAACTCTGTTAATCTGAATAGAATTCGTTTACATTAAATCCTAATAGATAGAAAGGTGAAAAAAAGTAATTTGACAATACTATTAATTTTGATAACAATGTAATTAAAATGAATATTTAAAATGCTAATTGTATAGAAAATAATAATGTTGAAAACATGAAAGTGTTTCTTTTTGCAAAGAAGAAAAAATAGAATATGTTGGTGATGAACCACAGCAGATGGAAAGGGGAAAATAGGTAATTTATTATTATTATTATTATTATTATTATTATTATTATTATTATTATTATTATTATTATTATTATTATTACTACTATTATTTCTATGCCGCCCACTCTCCGAGGACTCTGGGCGGTTTACATCAAAGACAGTATACTAAACAGCATATTGCCCCCAACAATCTGGGTCTTCATTTTACCCACCTCGGAATGATGGAAGGCTGAGTCAACCTTGAGTCAGTGAGATTTGATCCGCTGATTTGCTGAACTAGCAGTCAGCTGAAGTAGCTGCAGTACTGCACTCTAACCACTGCGCCACCTCAGCTCATTTTGATTATCAAGTAAATTAAGATGACTGTATTATTGTTAATGAATGAGAAAAAGGAATTAGAGAGACTCTTCTGGAAATGAAGAAAGATGGCAAAGAACTGGAGCAATTGTCATTGAGAAGAAATATAAGGCACAAAGTGATGTTATTCGAATATAAAATTGAAAACAATAAAAAATAATAGGGGGGAGGAATTAATATGGCAGAAGTTGAAATAATAAGCTATGGAGAAAAAGGATAAATTTGGGATAAAGGATTACACAAAAGAGATAAATATTGGAAAAAATAGGAAGATTAAGAAGTATTATAAGGATGATTTTGATTATGTATAAAATGTGAACTCTGTTCATAAAATATGTATGGTGAAAGAATTTTTTTTAATAAAACTTTTTTTTTTTAAATAGCCATACGTCTTAAAGAATTATCACCTAGCACCCCACAAAGGACACGGCTGAATCAATTTGAAACACTGTCCTATATTACAGCATCCGAAAGATACCTTGCCAATTGTACTGAAGCGTCCCAAGCCTTTTAAGAAAATTATAAGGGTTCTATTCCCCACATTCAATTCTCACTGTATTGGTGCATAGGCTTAGCCACTTGAAAAGTCTCTCAAGGCTTTGGAAAACAGAGAAAAGACACCAATATTTCACCCACCTTATTGAGCAACCTTAGCTGTGAAAGAGCATCTGGATTGATAATAAATCTCTGTCTTTCAAAACTCCCCACTTGCTTTATAACGGGATCCTCCCTGGACTGAACTATAAAGCTTACAATGTTCAAATCTGCTGTCACATCCCCATTTTGGTCCAAGTACAGTTTCAGGTGGGAAAGATTGCAAAACTTGTTCTTCTTCAGAAATGGATGGAACTAGAATAGAAATTTCAAGGAATGTTAAAAATCTTTCTGCTACAGTTGTCTCACTTGAGCATTCTAGCCTGGATCACAAATAAATTGAACAAACAAATGAAAAGATAATTCATAAAGCCCTTGAAAACAAGGAGAGATTCTGGCTGAATGAAAACCATCCTAAAAGGAGGAACAATTTTACAGCTGATCCCGTGAACCAGAGAAGTTTCCCCTTCACTGATTGTTTTAATGCAAAACAGCCATCACTTAGAGAAGATTTAACTGGGATTCCTGCAGACAGAAAGGGTTATGCTGTATCAGTGATGGTGAACCTATTTGGCACCAAGTGCCCAAATCAGAGCACGCGCCACAGCTCTAGAAACCTGAAGACCAGCTGGCCGGCATACACAAGTGGTGGCCACCTGGTTTTCGGGTTTCCAGCAAGCACATGTGCACTGGCCAGCTGGTATAGGGGTTTCTGGCATGCACGAAGACTAGCTGTGCGTCAGAAACCCGAAGAGCAACTGCCAACAGTGTGCATGCCCACAGAGAGGACTCTGCGTGCCACCTCTGACACACGTGCCATAGGTTCGCCATAACGGTGCTAGGGTCTCCTTCAAATGTATGAACATACAGCTCTAAAATGCTAATCACAAATTCATAAAGATAGGAATTTACTTAAAATGCATACATATTTTATAAAATTAACTGTTTAATATCAAAATATAAATGTCATGGTAACCGCTCTTTGGAAAATTATCCAAAAGTGATTAGATGGACCAAACTTGTTGGCCTTTTGAAGCACAAAAAGGTTGAGATAGTTTACTTTTCCCCTTTGTATTCCTTATCCAAAGAAAGTAACTTTGATGGATCTTTGTCAGGACCACATACCTGCCATGGCTGCAGCCTTTGAGTTCCCAGCCTCTCTTCTCCCTCTTTTCTTCTCCTCTTGGATATGGAGGAATACGCAGCATTCAAGGCATGGGCCAGAGTATTCATCAAAGAGTAAATATAGGAGTTATATTGGTTCCAGATCTTATTTCTTTCCACTTTGGTCTTCAGTGGAGATTTCTGAGTGCATCTTCTCCGGCCTTTGACAGAAATGATGTCTTCTGAAAAAGAACAGAGAAAAGATTGATCTCCGAACTGTGGTTGCACAAAGAGATCTGGTTCAAAGGAACTGTCCTTTGGCCTTTTTTTCCACTGAAAAATGTAGATCCAAACACTATGGATATATTTCAGAAATATGTGTCTTTTTATTTTCCTTTCCCCAAGGACTGCAATTATCCAGACTTTCTCTTCAATGGGTTCTGGCAAACTTTTAAGTGTTGAATGGAAAAGATGAATTCTGTCCCAAACAGCAAAAAATTCTACGATGTGAACAAAGACATTGACTTGTCTCCACTTGGAAATGGCAACCCTGAGGGGTGCTGTATGTCCAGCGGGTGAAATTTGTTCTGATATAACAGCACAAATTCCATTCCTGACCAGCATAGGACTCAATGTCCTCATGGAATTCTCTCCCTTCTCTGTGTCTGAAGCAAAGAGACCAATCAAGGTCCATCTGAAATGGAGGAGCAGTTGGACAATTCCTGGGTAGTGGATCCCTTCTTTGGGGAGCATCCGGTAAAAAAATGAGAATTGACTTTTATCACTCAGAGCCGCTGAAACAATGTTAGAAGTGATCTGAAAAAGCAATGAAGAATGCCGTCATTCTTTCAATAAATCCAACTTTGTCCTCATCAAGGTATTAGAATATTGTATTCCTGATTATCTAATATTACAGACAGAATATTAGCAAGACCAGATAAAAAATACAAGAAAAGAAAGGAAGTAATTAAAAAAAAATCAGAATAAAGAATGCAAATGATATTTCTTGATTACTCCCTTTTTTTCTGAAATCAGATCCACATTTGCAAATTCAACTGAATTGTTTTGTTCAAATAAAGAGCCATATTTTACGTCAGATTTTTAAATTCTGTCCACAAAGGTTATATGTTGTTTTAATATAAGGATTTTGACCTTCTCCTTATTTTCACAGGTGTGCAGTAGAAGCCCCCAAAGCAACGGGGATGGTGTCATGAGATGATAGGGCTGCTTTGCTGCTTTTCCCCTCCCCAGTATCAATCCCATCCATCACTAGACAATATACCTACACTGGCCACAGAGGAAAGCAACTCTTGAATGCCCTAGAATGGATATGGTTGAATTTATTGCTTACCCATCCTACCAATTCACTCTTTTTACTAGATAGAAAGGCACACACACAAACCTGTGGGACTTTGTAGGTGTCTGCTAATGTTGACATCTGGATGGAGATGTCCCTGACAGCTGCATCAACAAGAGCCAAAAGGTGGTCCTTCCTTCCACAGCTGTAGTTGGGAACATTGGCTTCTCCAGTGGAGAGCATGTCCAGCAAGGCATCTGAAGTGCCAATAGTGTTCATATAGTTGTCATGGATGTCGTAGCCAAGTGTGAGATTTTGCAGGAGCTGGGAATAATTATTGACCACTTGAATAGCGAAAATAAAGCGTAGGATTATAGACCGATCAGAAGATATGCTACTGTAAAAGAATGTTCATTTTTATCATCACCATTACCATCATCATGAATAGCAAAATATATTTTATATTTTTGATATATTTTTGCTTGACTAATCAAAATAAAGCATAGCATTTTTCAATGAGCATTAGATAAACTCTTTTAAAAATGAACAAACAGCTGTAAATATGATCATGTCATTATCATCAACAGAACCAGCAATATACTTCTTTTCAATCTAAACCACTTTCTCTTTTGAAGCCTACAGAGTCTTAAGCCATTACTGACTCCAAACCCAGAGACAAATGATACTCACCCAACTCCATTCAATTTTAATGAACATTGGGAAGATGGAATTGATACAGTCCTCCACATGGGATAAGAATCGCAAATACACTATTCTTTGGGGCAGTACTAATTTTCATCTGCCCAATAATCAGGATTCAAAATAATTGAATAATTACAGTAGAACTGCCATAAAAGGAAGAAGATGCTTCAAAAGTGACCCAGAAACCAATTCTAAAAATAAGTTATCCTGTATTTCTATAAGGATCTGGAAGTAAATATCAATGAGTAGTTGTATTTGAACTGAGCTGGGCAGGGGAAAACTACAATAATTATTAATTTAAACAAAAGTCAGTATTCAAGTCATGAATTCAAGATTGAACAGGCAGAGGAAAATAATGTGGACTTGTTTCATATTATTTTTCTGTTCCATCTTTGGATTTGAATCTGTTCCTCAAAATAAGACAAAGAAAGCATGGAAATCAAAATTATTAAGGGAATTAGACAGGAGAGGTGCTGCCATATCTAACTGGAATAAGTGGAATAAGGAGGGAAAAAATGAGGTGTTAGAATTATAAATGGAGGGACTGCAACTCCATTATCCTGAATGACTTACGAATTAGACTGACTAGAAGGAGCTGCATTGAAAGGGAACATTATAGGAGATATTTTTGTTCCACTGGTGATAACAGCAATGAGATGGCCTCCTGGTCTGTAATAGCTCCATGGTTTTTCTCCATCCTGGTGTTCCAGAGTCAGTGGACATTTCATTCTAAGCTTTCCAGAGATTGGCTGGGACAGCACTACCATCAGAAGCAGAAGTAGGAGGTTCATAATTCATGGGGCTGAATCAATTCCCTTCCTGTTTCTAAACAAGAACAAAAAGAATTGAAGAATTAACAGCCCTAAAGAATTAAGAGACAAACCAGGCTTCACCTGGAAAGGAGAGAAAAGTACATTTAACAGCATAGCCCCTGCCTGTCCTAAAATTCACATAACACAAAGTGCGACCGAAAGCATTTATGTTTTTCTGATGCCCTCCACACTTCTTCAGTCTGATGATTACATCATAGTCAGTCACTAGAGAAGTAGAAGGAGACATCTCAAAGAGCAGGATGGTGATAATTACAGTGAGAAGCAACTTTTCCTCTGGGGACCCTGAACTTATTCCTGATGTACAGCATGTTAGTGAAAAATTACAGATACAGTATAGCCCTGAGGGCAGAGTTCCATGGTAATTATGATCTGTCCTGTCAGGATATGTCTAAAAAATTACTCTTTTCTCCAGAGACTGCTGAGTAAGATCAACCAGAACCATGGAGTTTGGTGCCACTCAAGGTTGAGGACACTGAATATTTTTGGATTATATCATTGTATAAATATGAAGAAAGATATAATAGATCTTTTTTCCCCTTGACACCAATTGTTGTGACCTAGGCCCAAACGGTTATTACCAGACACAATCAGTCCTAAACAAACATATTTTATTGGAACAGCTGAGAATTACTTCATTCTCAGCTTAGTGCAAATTAAGTCCAAAACAAATTCTTCATAAACAGTCCTTTGGCCTTATCACCAACCTTTGTCTTCTTTGGCACACTGCCAAAGGCTTTTCTTGGCAAAAGTTCAGAAGCAAGACATGCTGACAAGAAACAAATGTAGCAATGTTGCTTTCCTACAGAGATCCCAAGAGCTGTTGCTGCTGTTTTAAGGCTTCTTTGAGGGGCCAATCATCTCCTGGCCTTACTCCCGAGTCGTCCTTTTTGCTTTAGCTGCTTTTGCCTTCTGGCAGCTCTTCAAATGCATGCACTAGGAACAGGCTCCTCCTGTTCCTCTGCCTCTCTGCGGACTCTGGAGGCTCCGGAGTCCGCTCATCATTCCCAGATGTCCCTGGCCCCATATCTGCCTCTGACACAGAGCCCTCGTCTGGGCCTTCCCCCGACTCCAGGACTGGCCCATTTTCCTCCCCAGCCTCCTCACTGTCAACTCCACTGCCAGCTCCACAGGCTGCTGGATGACCACATGAATTCCCTTCTTCTAGTTGTGTGGATGTATTCCATGGTAGTGGAGCTCTTTGGCCTTCACATCTCTGAGGCTGTGTGTGATCCCCCTCCCAAGACTGCCAAGTTCTTGAAAGAGGTGGTTGGGCATCCCTGTGTTTCTAGTTTATCTCAGTCAGTTGTCAGAAAGATTCTTGTTTGGAGAGAAAGTAAATTGAGATGTACACCTTGACATAGAAGGGAGAACTGGGAAATTGAGTTAGAGGGGGCAGCCGGCCACCTGATGGTGATACAGAGAGGATGGGAATATCCTTGGGGACATCTGGTCTTTTTTTAAAAAAAAAATCTATTCCCATTTTACAGATCTTATCTCAGTTCCTGACTACAAGAAGTTTTGTGATGCTAAATTCTGGCTATTGTTTTGGATGATGCATAACAAGGCTGGTTTCACCCATGATATTTTCTGACATGTCTCAGGGAAGCCTAGTTGTGCCCAGAGAGGAGCAATCCCCATCTTGGTTGAATATGTGCCACCCCGAAAGAAAGATGTAAAAATGAAAATGGATATTCTAAATCATAAAATGGATTTACTGGAGAAGGAAGAGCTAGCCCAAAAAATAAGAAGTGCTAAACAGAATTATTTTGAAAATGCAAATAAACCAGGAAGGTGGCTAGCATATAAATTGAAAAAAGAAAGGGAATAAAAAAAAAACAGAACTGATTAACGACCAAGGACAAAGTAAATTTAGAAATAAAGAGATGGGAAAAATAATACAAGAATATCATAGGCAACTTTATAAAAGAGAGCAGGTTGAAGAAGGGAAAGTTAAAAAATACCTACAGAACGCAAAACTACCTTTGATCCCCAAGGACATTGAAGAAATGCTAAATGGCCATATAACAAATGGAACTAACAGAAGCAGTTAAGAAACAAAAAATTGAAAGACACTACGATCAGATGGTTTGCCTGTTGAATATTATAAGACATTACAAGAATCCTTATGCCTCCCACTTTTGGACGTTATGAATGAAGTAATGATAAATAAAACAATACCCCAATCATAGACTGAGGCTTATATCACACTGATTCATAAAGAAGACACAGACCCACAGCAACTTAAAAACTATAGGCCTATATCCCTGCTAATTTCAGATTATAAAATCTTTGCTTCAATACTGGCAGAAAGACTTACGAGATACTTGAATAACGTTATTCATCCAGATCAAAATGGATTTCTTCCAAAAAGACAAATCAGAGACAATATAAGAATAATTTGGAATACCCTAGAATATTATGAAGCGCACCAGTGGTGGGATTCAGCCAGTTCGCACCACTTCGGGAGAACCGGTTGTTAACTTTCTGAGCAGTTTGGCAAACTAGTTGTTGGAAGAAATCATTAGGGCAGAGAACCGGTTGTTAAATTACTTGAATCCCACCACTGAAGCGTACCCTGAAAAACAAATGGCCTTGGTATTTTTAGACACACAAAAAGCATTTGATAGTGTGAACTGCCGATTTATGATGTTACAAATGGAAGAGATGGGCTTTGGAAGGAAATTTATTCAGACAATTGAAGCTATATATACGAAACAGATGGCAAAGATAATGATTAATGGAGAATTGAGTGATGCTATTGAAATAGAAAAAGGTACTCGACAAGGATGTCCCTTATCCCCATTGTTATTTATATTGACATTGGAAGTGTTCAATAGAAAGGTTAAAGAAGAAAAAGAGATAAAAGGAATGAAAATTAGAAAGGAAGAATATAAATTACAAGTTTTGCTGATGACCTGGTTTTTATTGTTGAAGAACCATTAACATCAATAAATAAATTGATAGAAAAAATAGGTGAATTTGGGAGGTTGCTGGTTTGAAAATTAATAAAGAGAAAGACGAAGATAATGACTAAAAATATGTTAAAAAAACAAAAAGAAAAACTGAGGGAGATCTCTAAGATGCAGGTCACAAATAAGGTAAAATACTTGGGGATTCAATTAACAGCAAGATATAGTTCTCTTAAAGAAAATAATTATAATAAGCTCAAGCAACAGATAGGACAGGATTTGGTGAAATGGGGAAACTTGCAGTTATCTTTGATTGGTAGAATTGCAACTATTAAGATGAATATTTTACCTAGAATCTTGTATCTTTTTCAGACAATTCCTGTAAAGCTGGGTGAAGAATTTTTTGCAGACTTAAATAAAATGGTTTTGAAATATGTTTGGCAGGGAAAGAAGGCAAGGATAAAACTCAAACTGTTACAAGATGCTAAGATGAGGGGTGGTTTTGGATTACCGGATTTTGAATTATACTATCAAGCAGTTTGTTTAATGTGGATTAAAGAATGGGTAACATTGAAAAACACTAGATTATTAAATTTGGAGGGACATGATTTGCTGATGGGATGGCACGCTTTCTTATGGTATAAAGGAACTAAAATTCAGGGGTATTTTAGAAGACACCAGAAACGTGAAGCTTTGTTTTTGACATGGGAGAAGTTTAAAAAATACCATTATTTGAAGATTCCAGTCTGGGTATCTACAATTGAAGCTTTTTCTTATCCAGTGGTATTTGAAGGGGAACAAATTATTAGATATAATGAATTATTGGATGAAAAGGGTGAACTTAAATTGAAACAAAACTTAGAAGATCAGGGAATTAAGATAGATTGGTTTTCATACATGCAAATACTTTCCAGATATCGAGAAGACTTTAAACAAGAAGGTGTTTATAGTGTTTTGACTAGTTTAGACAAGATATTAATGGATTCAGATGACCATGTAATTAAAAAGTTATATGGATATTTACTTGAAGTAAAACTGGAAGAAGAACAAATTAAAGAATCAATGATAGCATGGGGGAAAAATTTTGGTTATAGTATTGATTTAGAGAAATGGCAAAAATTGTGGTCACATAATTATAAAATGACAATGTCAACAGCATATAAAGAGAATTTGTATAAGATGTTTTACAGGTGGCATTTACCCCCAACGAGAATAGCCAGGATGTTTAAGAATAAATCGGAGAAATGTTGGAAGTGTCATCAAACTCCAGGACCGTACTACAT